CTGGGTTTGTACTGGTTTTACTGCAAAAAATAAGGATAGAAAATATATGCTCACTTTTTCTCTTTATAAATTCTATCATTCTGTTTGTCCCAACAGGAAGAGTCTTGTCAAAGGCAAGGCAAGGCAAGGCAAGTTTATTTGTATAGCACAATTCATACACAAGGCAACTCAAAGTGCTGAACAAGATAGCATTAAAATCATAAATAATCACAGAACATTAAAACGAAAGATAAAAATATAAAATCCCTCAGTTGTATGCACAGCTAAACAGCACCGTTTTTAACCTGGTTTTAAACATTGTCAGAGAGGAGGCCTGTCTCACATCTTCAGGAAGATCGTTCCAGATTTTAGCAGCATGAATCTGAAAAGCAGCCTCCCCATGTTTAGTCCTGACTCTGGGCACTAACAGGAGTCCAGTCCCTGTGCTCCTCAGAGTCCGGGCTGGTTCATATGGGACTAACATGTCACTAATATATTTTGGTGCGAGGCCATGGAGAGACTTGTAACAAGCAGAGCTGTTTTAAAGTCTATTCTTTAAGCCACAGGAAGCCAGTGCAGGGACCTGAGGACTGGACTAATGTGGTCGTACTTCCTGGTTCTAGTCAGGACTCGAGCTGCTGCATTTTGAATGTACTGCAGCTGTTTTACAGCCTGTTTGGACAGACCTGTGAGCAGGCTATTGCAGTAGTCTAACCTACTGGAGACAAATGCATGGATAAGAATCTCCAGGTACTGCAAAGTACAAGTTTGAGAAGAAATCAGAACACAACAGGATTGATCTGATTGGAAAACATGTTATCTTTTGCACACTCATAAGAAAGAGCCCTGCGCGTCTTTTTGTTTCTCTTTTCCATCTGAAAAAGCAGATTTTAGTTTGTGACAGAGGCAAAAATACTAGGGCTGTCAAACGATTAATTTTTTTAATCGAGTTAATTACAGCTTAAAAATGAATTAATTGTAATTAATCGCATTTCAAACTATTGGCAAAATTATGCCATATTTTTCTGTAAATTGTTGTTTGAATGGAAAGATACATGACAGCTTAGTGAACATATGTACTGTATTTGTTTGTTATAACAATAAATCCATATAAAATGGAATTAACATTATTAACATTCTGTCTTTCTATTTAGACTCAGACCAAAACCATTGTTTGTTACAGATGAGGGACATTTCAAAATAGTCTGAAATGCAGAATGTCATTAAAGTGATTGTCTTGACAGCCCTAAAAAATACATACATACAAAAACTGGTGATCGATTTTGTGGTTTGACTATTAGGTACCCCAGCTTTAAAGGAGCTGTATGTAAATATCTGGGCAAAAGTGGAACTGCAGCCTCTCCCAATCTCCCTGACTCAGGTTGCCAGATATGCAGACGAATCCAAATGGGACTATAATTTCTGAATAGACAAGATTTTTGTCAACAACAAATCTATAACCAACACCTTTTTCACAAAGATAGAAATCCTTCATTCCTTCTTTTGTTGTTAATGATTTTAGAATCATAGCGAGATCTTTTTTATTTCTGCACCACATGTTACTTTAGCAGTGAGATAAGCTCGAGGCGGTGAGTTCTGGCAACCCGGATCACAGACTTTCTGATTGGTGAAACGGTGGGGGGCGGGACATTGAAATGAAAACAAAAACAAGGTTTAGGGGCTAGAAAATTATTATTGAAACTCAAACATCTCTGAACTACTGTTATCATTTAAAGAAGTATTGGAAAAGAGCATGTTTTATTAATGCCTTTTGACAGATTAGGGCCCTTTAATGATGACTTGACATGAAAATCTTACATCTTGCTGTTAAACGCTGCAGCTCGAGTCCTGCCAAGAACGAGGAAGTACCATCACTTTAGTCCAGTTCTCAGATCTCTGCTTCCTGTGGCTCAGAGAATATAGACTTTAAATCAGCTCTGTCTCTCCAGGGCCTCAAACCATAGTACATCTACGACATGTTAGTCCCATATGAACTCTGAGGAGCACAGGGACTGGCCTCCTGCTGGGACTCTGGAGGAGCACAGGGACTGGCCTCCTGCTGGGACTCTGGAGGAGCACAGGGACTGGCCTCCTTCTGGGACTCTGGAGGAGCACAGGGACTGGCCTCCTTCTGGGACTCTGGAGGAGCACAGGGACTGGCCTCCTTCTGGGACTCTGGAGGAGCACAGGGACTGGCCTCCTTCTGGGACTCTGGAGGAGCACAGGGACTGGCCTCCTTCTGGGACTCTGAGGAGCACAGGGACTGGCCTCCTTCTGGGACTCTGAGGAGGCAGCTCTTCAGATTTATGCAGCTAAAATATGGAACTCAAGTATTGTATCTTCACTCTTTTCAATGCACTTTGATTATTTATGATTTTGGTGCCTTGTGTGATTGTTTTTATCTTGTTTTATTTTGCACTCTAATAATAATAATAATAATAATAATAACAACACATTATATTTATATTGCACCTTACATTTCAGGGAAACCTAAAAGTGCTACAGAATAAAATACAATGCCACAAACCAACAAAACAAAACAAGCAAAACAAAAATATGAGAGTAAGTACATACTGTAAATATCAAAACGAAACTTGAAGGGGTTAAAGCCTTGTGTAAGAACTATTCCACAAACACACTTTCCTCGACTTTTTGACTTGTTTTCTTAGTGCCTCGAAACAACATAATCTTTTTACCTCTTTTCCCATCTATTTCTGCAGTCCATACAGAGTTTAGGGGCGGGTTCAGAGGAGTGTGAACTTAGCTCCGGGATAAGGACACGATGTAATATGCAGCGTTAAACATGTACTCATGTTTCACACGCAAAACACTCCAATAAACACACGTCTGTCTCTGGGGGACGTTTGTCAGCGGTGCCAATGGAGGTCATGATAGCTCTCACCTCTCTGTGTGTGTGTGTGTGTGTGTGTGTGTGTGTGACTGTGTGTGTGTGTGTGAGACTGTGTGTGTGTGTGTGTGTATGAGACTGTGTGTGTGTGTGTGTGTGTATGAGACTGTGTGTGTGTGTGTGTGTATGAGACTGTGTGTGTGTCTGTGTGTGTGTGTGTCTATATCTGTGTGTATGTGCATGTGTGTGTGTGTGTGTGTGTGAGACTGTGTGTGTGTGTGTGTGTGACTGTGTGACTATGTGTGTGTGTGTGTGTGACTGTGTGTGTGTCTGTCTGTCTGTGTCAATATCTGTGTGTGTGTCTGTGTCTGCTGAACTGGAGAGCAGCCATAAAAAAGGTACATGGAGAAGTGTGTGGAACCTCTGAGACTTTAAAGGCAAATAAAATCTTTTCCAGAGTATGATCCAACACCAAGTGTTTTTAGATAAACAAGGAATCAATGCACTGCTGCATCACGTTTAAGAGGAGAGAGAAGAGCAACATGTCTGTGTTTCTACATTATTTGTTATTTTAAAACAATTAAGAGTACAAGAAAAGTTAACCAATATCTCTATCCAGCAGTTACACAGAAGCTCATAGTTGACCAGAAGTTTTAAAAAGTAAGAAAGTCGTCTTTAAAGGAGCATTGTGTAAAAATCTGTTGTACGGTCCTCCCACTCTCTCTGACTCAGGTTGCCAGATATGCAGAAAAATCCAGCTGGGACCATAATTAGTGAACAGACAAGAGTTTTGTCTATTCAAGCATTTCAGATTCATGCAACTAAAATATGGTCTGCCTGTAAATGTGAGACAGGCTTCTTCTCTGACTGCACTTTAGTTTATCTTGTGTATGAACTGTGCTATTTAAATAAACTAGCCTTGCCTTTTTGCTTTCCCTTGAAATGATTAGTGTGGAATCTAATACATTCAGGGGACTGTGTCTATTTTGTGTCAAATTTTAATTATAAATGTGTTGTTTTGGTAATGTTTTTTACACACAACAAATAACTGTAATAATCTGAGGCTGGATGTGATCAGCAATATCAATACAACCACAAGAGGGCGCTAATAAGTGACAGCAAGGGAAAGCATCCTTTGTATCTATTGAATGGTCTCTCCTAATTAACCTCCACAAACAAAGAGAAATACAGCCATATGTTTTAATTTAGTGGCATTAACTTTTCAAACTGGCTCTAAATAGTTAGCAGCGTTGTTAGCATTCAAAACAGATAACTCACTGGTTTTCATGTTTGTTTTGCCTTGAGAACAGTTTTTTTCTGATGCAGAGATGACCACCAGTGTTCAGCCAACCAGCTCTCAGCCCAAAGGGTCACTGATCGACTTACAAAGTTTGGAAAGATGAATTGTTGCATGTTGTGTGGTCATATTTGTTCTCCACATATTTTCTTTAACCAGGATCCCACATCTCTCCACAAAACTATTTCATTTAGCCTCAAGTTAAGGTTAAGGTACACTTCATTGTATTGGGAAATTGTCCTCTGCATTTGACCCATTTGACCCACTCTTCCACTGCCACCTGACCCACTTGGCCCACTCTTTCACACCCATCTTATCTGTCAGAAGCCGTGGTCTCTGTAGTATAGTGGTATTATAACTGATCCATGCCTGAGACCCATCTCTAGGTGTCAAGAATCTTGGTCGGAACCAGAGATTTCCTATTCAGTATATTTACCATTTGCAGTAAAACCCCATTGGCATAACTGTACAAGACTAACCCCAGTGTGCACCAGGATAGAACACACCAGAGCTCTTCCCAGGGAGCCATGTCTCTGAGCTGGACAATTTTATCTATTGTGCATTTACCTATGGATTTAACCTATTTTGCAGTGGTAGGGGAAACTGGAGCACCTGGAGGAAACCTAAGCAGACACAAGACGGATATGCAGACTTCACTCAGAAAGGCCCTGTCTGGAGATGGAACTGAACCTAGGACCTTCTTGCTGAGAAGCGAGAGGGCTAACCACTCTGCCACCATGCCAAATACTCAACATATAACAATGTTTTCATAGAAGGAATTGTGGGAAATATAGAAATATCTGTGTTTTGTCCTCACACCACCCCAGTCACTTCTGCACACACATTGTAGTTTGCTGTCACTGATTAGACAGAGAAATGCCCCTGTGTGGACCGATGTGGACCCGTTTGGACTCTGTCTGGACCCCGTCTGGACCCCGTCTGGAGCCCGTCTGGAGCCCGTCTGGAGCCCGTCTGGAGCCCGTCTGGAGCCCGTCTGGAGCCCGTCTGGAGCCCGTCTGGAGCCCGTCTGGACCTGTATACCGTTGGTCTCCTTCGAAGGGTTCACTTGTTGCTGATTTTAACCCACCCACTGACAGCTGCCATGGCAACCGATCATCGTTACATCACCTTCCGGTCATAACGGCTGCACCAGGGATAAGAATCAGTCACGGTTTCACCATAAACGGTTCGTAAAAAGCTTCAAGGTCAGAGAAGCACGAGTTGCATAAAGTGAAATAACAAAACAAAAAATCCAAAAGTTGCGGTGTCATTGTTCTAGTACTGAACCCTGTAATAATCTAAAGAAACCTAGAGCTCGCTAAGACACATCTCATGTCATTATGTATTCACTCCAAACAGTGAAATGTGGGTTAAGTGTCTTGCCCAAGGACAACAACAACAATATGGTAGTTTACAGCTGCAGCCATCCCACTGTGGCACATGGTGTTTCCAGAGGTCTCCCATCACAGCACTAACCAGGCCCTGACCTGCTTAGCTTCAGAGGTCTGGAACTGCCACTACCACTGCAGTCATTTATTTATAGTAGTTTATCACCACTGAGTAAACAGATGTCACGAGAAACATCCGATGATGATGATTATTGTTGGTTTCAGTTAAATCACAGAAATACATGAACTTTTGAACAATATTCTAACTTTCTTTCGGATGTGGTGGTCAATCTGCCGCCTCACCCCTGGCCCTCGGTCTGCAGCGGCCACTGTGGCAGCTGTATTTAAAGCTGCTGTGAATGAGGCATAAATCCTCAGGCATTAGCGCCTCCAGAGCACAGGGAGCAGCGACGAGCTCAGGCCAAACTCAGTCACTTCACACTAAATGCATTAAACCGTTGGAGCCGCGGGGCCTGCACTGCGCTTGACCCGCTCCCCCGCCTCCCCCACCTCTCCCCCACCTCTCTGCAGCCGGACAGGAGTTTGGAACGGTTTGATTCTCTGATCTGTTGTTGGCGAATCGACATCTGGCTCTTTATACCCAATGCATACATTTTTTTATACACCACAATTCAGGGCTCACATCAGGCTCACATACTGTACATAACAATGATAAAAGAAATATCAAAATCTTGAAGTAAAAATGGTAATGATAAAGTTCCTCATTATTTATTCACGAGGAACTTTATCTGCAGATGGAGCGACAGTTGGATCCATAAAAACAGAGACACAACATTTAAAATGCAAAAAATATGCAGATATTCAGTATAAAATGTGTTATTTATTGTAAAAAGTGTCCATTATAATTAAAGGTACACTGTGTAGTTTTTACTCTCATCTAGCATTGAGATTATATTGTAATTTCCGGTACTAGTGTCGCTTAGCCGTCTTTGACAGTGATCCCAGACTCCCGCTCAAACTCCTTTTTGTCCTTTATCAACCACTGTAGATGGTGCATTGACCTCCAGCCTCATGGACATTTATAAGTCAAATTCTAAGCCAATGACAACAATTCAAAAACATGGTGAAGGTAAATATTCTTTAAAAGGTCACATTTCTTATTGGTTAACATGTTTTTATCATTTGGAGCAACTGTAAGAAATACACAGAGTACCTTTATGTAAAGTTTATTTATACAGCGTATTTTTACAGACCAATGTCACCCAAAGCACTTTACTTACTTAAATTTGAGAAATATCTGATGTTTATGTCAGGTCTGACTCTAAACTGAATTGAATCATTTGTAATTAAACCTGACAATAAAGTACTGAACCCTGTCTAAGCTGAATCTTGTTCCTTTGTTGTAATGACTGACCTTGTCCAGCAGATGGAGCTCTCTAGTCTTGAATGCGTCAGTTTCCCACATTCACCATCAGGAGAGGACGATGGAAGATTATCTGGACAGGAAAAGCTTTTCAAATATAGGTTTATTTGTAAAGCACAGTTCATACACAAGAGAATTCAAAGGGATTAACAAAACAAGAGATAGTAAATGTATATTGTGTCCTTTTTTCTAACAGGTTTATTAAGCTAGAGATAGTATAATCACTTTCCTTGTGTTGTGTGCTTCTCATTCCTTCTCTTCTAACACTGACACTTTCCCCACAATGGGATGAATAAAGTCTTAATCTTAACCACCGTCCTTTGTATAATAATATAATGCGAATGTAAGAATGTAAAATGTGTTAAAAGTGCTTCTAAGGACGGCTGTTGCAGATTGGCCTCAGGGATAAATGTAGAGTTTCACATGTGGATAGGGACAAATGTACACAATTAAATAAAAATAAGAAAAAAGAATCTGTATTCGTCCCACCGCAGGAAATGTCAATGTTGCAGCGCACTTACAGGACAGTAGTAAGAGCACACAAAGAGCACACAACAACACGATACAAAAATACAAAAAGTAGTTGTGGTGTTACTTAACCTTTTAATGTTCACTCCTTGGAAGAAAGAAATGGAATGTTGTTTTTTGGGGGATTTTCTGAGATGTAAGAGCAGTAATAACACAAGGAATTTGATTTGTTATGTTTTTAATGTTTTATATTGTTTACCTCTGGTGTTCTTTAACCCTTTAACATTCACTCCTTGAAGAAAGCAATGCAATCATTTCATTTTTGGGGATTTTAGAAGTTGTATGAGCACCAATAACACAAATGTTTTTTTTTTAATCAGGATCATAGGCCTTCACCAAATGGTTCATTTATTGTTGATTTGGTTGGGACAGTACATGTTTATGAACACATTGTAGATATATTGACTCAAAGGTGATTTGCCAAATGGTTGAAGGGTTGATTCTAGACCTTTACCAAATGGTTGAGTTTCAGTTTGATGGTGAGAGTGCCAGAGACCAGTTCCAAGTAGATAGTGACTCAAAAAGGGTTGAGGAAACTATTAAAGGGGAGGTGTAAACCCATGAATAAAATAGATAAATAAGATAAATATGTCAAAGCAACTGCAGAGTCACTAAAATGAAAGTAGAAAGTGAATATATGGGTTTCAAAGTGAGTGATAAAAAGCTTAACCAACACCGTTATAAGTTGTCGCTGCAGTGACTCGGTTGTAAAGTGGCCTCACCTCATGTTGGGAAGCGGTCCCCCGGGACAATGATGGTAATTACCCCGGTGTTCGGTCTGCTCCTCTCTGCCGCGTGACCCCTGCCCTCATCCCACAGACAGCCACACAAACGCCCTCAGCAGGAGGCCAAACGGGCTGTCACTCCCCCGCCCCCGGGACCCTCCAGACCCCCAGCGGACCCCCAGCGGACCCCCAGCGGACCCCCAGCGGATCAGAAGGGGAAGGAGCGGCACAAGAAAAGGACAAGACAAAGATGTGAAAGAGGCTTTGTTGGTTCTCCTCAGGTTTGCCCCGGCGCTGGACACATCAACTCTCAGAAATACAGGACATGCACATCAATACTAAACCAACTTACGGTGCGTTTTAAAGCTCGGCTACCTGACTTTACAACCAAAACAATGATCTATCCAAGAAAAGACTTTGATGGTTCCACAGGGGAGGAATTTCAAGTTGCACATTACAACCGAATACAGGAAGGGAATAAGAGGAAAGAAGATTGCTCAGGTTCTGTAATAATAATAATAATAATGAAATATAATAAAACTCTGGAGCTATAAAAGCACTTTGTTCAAGAAAAAGTACAGATGTTTTAAATACTGTATGTAACGGTAATTAAAATAATATAGTGTTAGGGATAGTTAATGCAATGGTGGAAATATGACTGACAGAAAAAAACTAGATTCGGTATGAGAGCTTGTGGGAATGAAGACACAATAAGAAGTATAACTGTATAAATAATAATTTGTATTGACAAAAATGTTGTAGACAGACAAAAAAAATAATTAGACCTTTGGACATAAACAACACATGGAAAAAACAGACCAATGAAAAGGGAAAAAGAATTGACACACAACAAAAAACCTTAAACCTTTATGGTTTGCGTTCAGGTCCGTTCTTTGCTTAGAAAGCAGAGTTCAGTTTTTAGTTTCTTGTACTTTAGGTTGAAGTACTCAGTTTAGTTCAAAAACAAAGTTCAAATAAATTTTAATCCGTGTGGAAGCAAGAAAAATTATAATCCAAATCAAGGTGTCCTCTTGTACGGGTAAACGTTGGAAAAAATATATAAAGAGGTCCTACCAGTTGGTTGGTTCGTTTAGGGCTCAGCTCGCCGCCTCTTACGAGGAATAGTGTTCAGGGTTCAGGGTAGGGAAAAAAACCTGACCTAAAACAGAGGTCAAAGGAAAAAAAAATCCCATAAATAAATAGTTCAATTATTTCTGTATTAAATAAAATCATTCTAAGCAGTACTTCAGTTACTAGTAACAGTTAAATCAATAATATCATAATGCATTAATTTTTGATCAGTTTCAATATATTAAATCACACGTTGCGCAACATCCAATCAGGCGCCTGCAGCCGTAGCTCATTTGCATAGGAGCGCTGGGAGCTCCGCTCAATAACACATAGACACAGACAATCAATACATCCAAATGTAAATCGGACAACACAGTTTAGACATACATTCATTATACACATGCACGGACGGTTTCAGAATTATTCGTAATTGTTTTCATGGAAAAAAATAGAGTTTGAAAACCGGAAACTGCGCTCGCGGTAAACCCGGAAGCAACGAATATTGCAATATAACTTTTTAGAATGCGGTTTCACATGATCTGACTATTGAGTTCTGTTGAGTATAAGCATAATTCACTCACCGTCGAGTTTGAGAATTTTCTGTTTAGTTTCCTAGCAGTTCTGTGTGGAGTTCGTGAAGAGCTCAGCCGCAGTTCTGGTAACAGGAAGTGGGCTGCCGGTGTTCTGGGGCGCAGCCATTTTAACTATAGCGCCACTGATGGCGGGCCAATGAATGGGTTATCCAGTTCGCCAGAGACGTGGGTTACATGTACTTTAGCGGAATAAACAATAATAATAACAGCAGGTGAAGTGACAAGTAATAATAATAACAGCAGGTGAAGTGACTGGGTGGCACAGTGGCTGAGTGGATAGCACCTCTCAGCAAGAAGGTCCTGGGTTTGAATCCCGGACAGAACGGGGTCTTTCTGAGTGAAGTTATGTCTGCATGTTCTCCCTGTGCTTGCGTCCTAATCTGGAGATGGGTTGCCGACCACTGCTGCTGACGTAAACCTTAGCGGCATCAGGATGGGTCAAATGCAGAGGATGAATTGCCCTACGGGGATAGTAAGTTAGTAAGTTTTTATTTATATACCGCCTTTTCACTGCAGATCTGAGTCTCAAAGCGGTTTACAATTGTTAATTTTTGGGCATTTGTCTCTCACTCCACACAGATGGGAGCGGGGTCGCCAGTACAGGAGGCGCAAGGGCGCGGCTGCCGAGAATAGTTTACCTAAACAGAGCTAAACCATTTTCAACGGTAGTGAATGGGTAAAAGTTTCATGCGTCACTTCCGGTGCCAGCGGAAGTGACGTGGCGCGCTGCTCTAAAACGGAGAGAGCCGGTGTTACGTCGAGCCGCGTTTCCCCGTCAGATACTGTTTCCCCTGCGTCTACTCGCCGCTCCACCCCGCTCCGCGCCGCTCCACCCCGCTCCGCGCCGCTCCACCCCGCGCCGCTCCACCCCGCTCCGCCCCGCTCCGCGCCGCTCCACCCCGCTCCGCACCTCGCACGCGGCAAATAGTGCGCGTGCTTGTTCAGTACTCGTGGATGGACCCGTCAACATATAACAATATTGTCCAGTATCTATCCATTGGAAGCTACCCCGAAGGCTCTACTAAGAGTCAAAAATATTCTATAAGGCGGCGGGCAGCGGACTTTGCAGTTGATGGTGAGTATATTTTTTTTCTTAAAATTTACCGTTGGTCAAAGGCCTCTAGTCTTTCCCTTACCTAATTTATATAGCGATAAGTTATTTCGGGTATGTAGAATTGTGTCGTACCTATTGCATAGCCGTATTTACTTTTTTTTTTAAATTTGGACTACACTGGAATTATCAGCAACCTTACTTAGCCCCGATGATATACCCAATTGAATAATTAGGCTACTTAAAGGTAATTAAACCTGTCGCACTGAACAGTAAAGAAATTAATGACTTTAAAAATCTGTCGGCCCAATGTGGGTTAGAAAATTATGACCCAACACGACATTTATATCAGTTCTGTCTTTCTGTATATAGCAACTGCATCCAAGTAAATATTATTAGCATATTTGAGGATGTTTAGAATAATTACTCTGGCTACTTCTCGGCACAACACTAACCACTTCAGGACGAGTCCCATTCACATACATTCATACTGGAATATTAAAGTTCTTTTTTTTTTTTTTTTAAGTTGATGAAGCAATGTGTAGCCTATGCTTTGTTTTCATTTTTATCATCAACTTGTGATATTTTGACAGATGAAGTATTGTATTACTGCAAGGGAAGCAGTCAATCAAAGAGAAAGGTTGTGACTGCAAAAGAGGAAGCACAACAAATCTTCAGAGAGTTTCATGCCAGTGCTTATGGTGCCCACTGTGGCATAGTTAAAACCAGAGATGCTATAAGCAGACGGTTTTACTGGCCAGGCATGTCCAAAGACATCGACAAGTGGGTAGGTATTTCTTATAAATCAAAGCTCACAAACAGAAACCATGGTATCTTGTACATTATTATGGTATAATATTTGACAGGGTAAATGATGAATGGCTTGCACTTATATAGCCAATGGTGTAGGTTTGGTTCCAATCTTGGTGGGGACATTCACTACGACCTGAGTCTACACCCATTGACACGGGGTCCAGAGTTTCTCCCCCAGAATTTGTTGTGTAATCACACACTATATTTGTAATAGTGTGTTGCCTTCTATACTAAACTCAGCTGTAGACTGAATGAGAAGCAGTTAAGGATTTTTTCTAATAGTTAACACAAAATCAATTGGATCAGAGCTTCTGAGTTTTGTGTTGCGTTCATTCTATACTGACTTAAACCTAATCCAAATCTACTTAATAGCCCTCACCTGAGGCTCTAACAGTTCAGGAACGGCTCTCGATACTTGAAATAAATCATGCTCTGATCTTTCAATTTCCTATAATAAATAAAAACAGAGGAGAAAATATTGAATTAGAATCTACAGTGAGTAGCTCACTACATTGTTTGACATATACGATCAATCTCTAAAAACAATTCATAGTCCCATGCATACCTACAAAATTCCAACCTCACCTGATGCACTGAAGGGCCTGTTGCTTCTACCTCAACATTCCCTATATTGTTCTCTCTTGGTGGTTGAGTTTCCTATGTATGTTAACAGAAGATTAATCATCACAATTCATAATTTGCTATTACTTGTGCTTTCTCTTACTTACTTTCCAACTGTTAAAAAAGCTCCTGATATCTTTTATCTTTTTTTGTGGAGGTGGCATTTTTTCTAAATTATATAAGAAGGTATAGACAATCAAAAACAGACATTCATATACATGAACTGCAGAATCATTTATATAACTTGGCCAATGTCAAAAGTTACATAGTATTTCTCAATACAATGAGTTAACAAGAGTTTGGCAATAAGTAACAGTGTGGATTTTTCTATATTTTCTTTTTTTTTATTCCACTCTCAACCCAAAAAGGCAACTAATGACTCACAGGGCTCTCAAGTATGCAAAGTAAAAACTTAAATGACCTGTTGTGGTGTGTTTTGCGCACAACCAGCATGCATCGTTAACGCAATGGAAAATGTAGGTATCCGAGCTTTAATTTCGGGAGCGCTGGTTGCGCTTTGGGAAGAGTCAGGGGAGAGACATGTCAGAGACACAGGGGAGAAACGGGGGAGATACGAGGGAGACCCGCACTTGCAACATGGTTCTGTCTGCATATGGTCCGAGCTCGGTACCATGTTAGAGCTGTGCTTTCACTGAGCGCCGCGGCTGTCATTACAAAGCGGCAGCAGCTGCACCAGGACGTGCACATTCGAGTGCATCTCTTGAATGTGCTTAGAGCAAATAACAGCAAGTGCCCGCTGTCACACATTTCACAGAAATTACATTATCAGCAGATAAAGGTTGTAAATTGTGGATCCGTGGAATATTTTCATCCCTAGTTTATCCTGATTCACACAACACACCCACTTATACATTTTGGATAGTAAGAGCACAATAAGTATTTTTTCAGCCTTTCAACCAACCTGTTTCTTTATTGGAGCCAGTTCTGTTCTGTGTCTGTGCCGTGTGAGCTCCTCGGAATATTAAACAGTGCGCTGACAGATTAGAAATAACGTAAGTACTTTGAATGGTAATAGATCTACAGTACTTTCCTCTGATTACTCGCGTGCTACAACGCTCAGGGAACGAAAAAAAACACTTGCTTCACGCTGGCTAACTTTTAAAAATTAAACAGTCGCTCAGTGCTTCAGTTTGGCGCTGAAGAAGACAGCCAATCACTGCAGAGAACGGAACGGGTCACGTGCTGCTGCTGCTGTTGCTCTGGAGGCGAGGAGGAGGCGCGACGTATGCACAAACGGAAGACATGTGTCCCGGACCGTCCGGGTCCCGGGACATCATGTCATTTTGGTGGGGACTTTTTAGTCCTCACCAAATATTGGTGGGGACATGTCCCCATGGTCCCCACGCAAACCTACGCCCTTGTATATAGCGCTTTCCAGTCATACATCTACAACAGCTTTGTGACATTTTATTGAAAAAAATGTGGTTCTTTAGGTCAGTCAATGTGTGGAATGCCAGAAAAGTGCACTGACAATTAAGCAGGAGACAAAACCCATCCCAATTGAAGTAAGTGACACACATTTCAAAACACCACATGAAGGATATTTTATTATTCCTGGTCAAAAGTGCTTTTCTCTATTTTCGTTTCCTTTTTCAGGTGAGTCAACCATTTGAATTGGTTGGGATGGACCTTATAGGCAAGGTTGTGAAAACAGAGGCTGGGAATGAGTATATTGCAGTCATGATTGACTATTTTACTAAATGGTCCGAAGCCTATCCTCTGCCGTCCAAAACAGCAGCAGATGTTGCCCAGTGTATTTTAAAGTTTTTTTATCGCTTTGGGGCCCCAAAGCGAATCCTGACTGACCAGGGCAAAGAATTTGTGAATGAGGTGTGTTTTTAAATACTTTTGAGTGTTATGGACTGGAGTGTGATGCTGTATAAAACAGTTTGGTTTGTCATTTAGTGATCACATTTTTTTCTTGTTGATGTTTATCTGTTAAAGCAATGATTCGTTTTTGACCAACAGTTGAACAAGGAGCTGTGCAAAATGCTGAACATTGAGCGCAGCCTTTGTGCTCCCTATCATCCGCAGACCAATGGGCTGGTAGAAAAGCACAATGGGACGATTCAAAGGTAATTACAATTTCAGAATTATATGTAATTATTCAAAGGTTTGCGTTTTTTTAAGTTCAGTGCAGGCATTTCAACATTCTGTCTGAACATTATGCCAGTACAAACTTTGTCCTCTTTGACAATGTGGTAATAATCAGCCTGTGTGCTGGGAGTGACCTAAAGATGTCATCGATCATGTACAGAAACATAGATTGGCTTCCCATAGGTTCCTCTCCAGCAAGTGTTGATGCCATTATTTGCTGTGCTGTTGCAAATTTTCATCTTATCATGGTGTGATCTTGTGCACCCCTGAAGTTAATGGCCAGCTGTAGTGGAATCCCTTTTGTGTGCCCCCTCCCCTTTTTGTGATGATTACGGAATTTGTTATCAATTTCTTTAGGTTGAATACTCCGAGCACTGGCTTAGTAAATTTGTCCACATTGGTATAGTGGCTGGTAGCTTCTTTCAGTAAATTTAGCAAGAACGTGATAAAATCTTGCTTTTCAGAGCACTGTGCAAACTTGTGAGTGAGCGACCAGAAACTTGGGACACGTACTTGGATCCTGTGATGTTTGGGATCAGAACCAAAAAACAGTCAACTACCAAGTTCTCACCATACTTCCTCCTCTTTGGAAGAGAGGCTCGTCTGCCATGTGAGGTTCCAGAGAACATCCTGGTGAGACATGATTTCATCTGTCTTGATTACATTCTACATGAAGAGCCCTGTAGATGTTAAGACATTATTTTAGGTCACGTTTATTCTTGACTCTTCATCAAAATTTTTAGAAATTTAAAATTAACACTGCAGTATCTCTGGTGGTATTTCATCATAATGTAAAACATTACATTACTAATGGACAAGAAAACTGCTATTATAATTACAATTTTGGTAAACCACATTTCTGATAATTCACACTTATGTTCCAAGTTCATCCACCTGTTTATAATAAAGTTTCTGAAAATATTTGTGTGGTAGTTATGTTTTCACTTCAGAAAAGACTAATATTTGAGAGTGGACACCTTCTTAAGGTATCTGAAATCTGCATATTTATTTTCTTTTACCCCAGATTGACAGCAAAATTGAGGACACTCTGGGGGAGGAGTCGGTGGTGGAGTCAATAAAAAAAAGGGATGCAATTTATAAATTAGTTCAGGAAAATATGGAAAAAACTCACAAAACACAAGACCCCAAATCAAAAACCCCAAACTTTCAAGGTTGGGGACAAAGTTCTACGGCTCAACATCAGAAGCCAACAGAGGAAGGGTGGAAAATTGGAAAGAAACTGGACCGGACCATACACCATAGTCAAACTTGTAAATAAAAGTGCAGATTTGCAATCCGAAACCGCTTTTTTCCCAAAAGTCAACACAGATCAGCTTAAGATTTTCATTGAACAACAAAACATTATCCCTCAGAACATTCTAAAAACTGGAAAACCTGCATCCATCCCTCCACCTGTTGAAGAGACAACATTCATCCCTCCACCTGATGTTGTCAGGGTACATAATCTCCCGATATGGCTTGAAGAAAACAGTAAACACACAAGTAAATTGCTGTGACTGGGACTTTCTCACAAAGAGCCACAAAGGAGCTCTTACAAGCTACACATCTTTCTGGATGAGGCCTTGCATCAGTCAACTTACTAAAGGAAGTAAACTGATGATTAACTGACTTTACAGTACCTTTTATTACATGACCATTATCATAATTTTCATATTTAGGAATAATAATAGCAATCCTGACGAAAGTGCAGAAAAAAGTATCCTACAGGGTAGGGGCAAAATAACAATTTAAGAATGATACTTAATAATCTTTTTAAAAGAATTTTGGGTGCATTATGAATCTGTCTCCCTTAATACTATTGACACACTGGCAGTAAACATTGTTAAACACTGTTCATCTTGCATATAGATCCTAAGATCAATGCTTTACACTCTTAGGCAATAATATTTTTTAATATTAGATGAAACATTAAAAGAAATTAAAATGATATAGTACATTAAATCTAACTCTTTTTGTTCTGCAGATATCCTGTGATGTTTGTGGGAGGTGGTTTCACCATGTGAGCTCTGGATGTTCAGACACATCAGCAGCTTTCATTTGTGAAGCCTGTTGAGGGAAGAGGAGATGTGGAAACTTTGCCACAACTTGACCATTTGTTCAGTGTTATTTCTTATTAAAAAATGTTACAGTTCTGGTAAAAGGTGTGATCATTCATTTCTAATAGACCTGGGAGAATAAACATAATGTTAAATTAGGGGACATTAAAGGTAAAAAAAACTGCAATGTTTCTATGAAAAAATATTCAGGTCCAAGTGATGGTGCTACTACTTTAAAGTGATGGCACCATTCATATACACCTGTTTAACACAGGGGGAACGGTATCTGACGGGGGTTATTTGGCCATCAGGACGCGTTTCCCCTGTTTAACACTGAGGGAATACATGTATATATACACATGATAGATAAATGTATTTATATATATATATTTGTGAATATATATATACATTATATATATATTTGTGAATATATATATATATATATATATATATATTATATATACATACATACATACATACATATTTATTTGTCATATCATATTATATATATATATATAGGCTATATTAATATAAAGTTGTCATACCTGAAAAACCAAAACAGCACAAACGATATTTTTTCTGCACAAACCAGCACTAACGAGTGTGGCTATTTTTCACTGAGTTTTGCGTGGGGTAGGGGCCAACTTCACTCAGGTGCTTTCACTGTGTCTGTAGTTGCATCTGGCTGCAGACTCCCCCCCCCTCGCAGACCTCCCTGTTCAGCCCCTGTCACGTGACCTCCTTCAGGAGCCCCTGTCACGTAACCTTTGCCATGAGCTACTGTCACTTCACTCCCTGGGACTTGAAAACGTTTTTCTTCATAAAGTTATAAAGCTTATATTTAACATATTGTATATATTTTGTAACAAACAAAAATAGTGACGTTGGTTCCACAAATTGTGACCAGGTATTATGTATATGAGCGTTTTCATCTGGGCATTTGGGATGCCAAAGAACAATTCTGTTGCCATTTGTTTACAAGAGCGCCACCTACATGTCACCCATAGTATAGAACATGAAAACACGTCGAAAAGACAATATATATGGAGATACCATGGCGAGGCTTTATTATAGTCAAGAGCTGCAACTTCCATTCATCTATATTATTCTCGCAACAGCAAAAAAGTTACATAGGTACCCAATATTTCTTTTTTCTATTATTTTCTAGAGGAATAAGAGTTAGCTAGACCTAATAGGTCTACTCACATTTTTGATTTTCCTACCGTTCTGTAACCTGTGATACAATTCTGAACATTCCCCGTTTGTGGTGAATAAATTATCTCAATGATAAAGCCGTTCAACTATTTATTATGCATTCACAATAAAACACCCCTTTTATTAACACATTCAACAGAAAAGAGTTCCATGTCCTCAATCCAAGAGAAGACAAACTTGAAGGGCTCCAAGATGTTCTCATGCTCCTCACTGTCCAGGTCAAAGTCTCCCTAAACTGAGAGAAGTCTGCTTGTGTCTGGTAAAGGAAGTGACGTAACAGGGGCTCCTGAAGGAGGGGCTCCTGAAGGAGGGGCTGAACAGGGAGGTCTGCGAGGGGTGGGGAGTCTGCAGCCAGACTCTCTCGGCTCGCTGGTTACGAGTGCTGAACAAGCACGCGCACTATTTGCCGCGTGCGAGGTGCGGAGCGGGGTGGAGCGGGGCGGAGCGGCGCGGAGCGGCGAGTAGACGCAGGGGAAACAGTATCTGACGGGGAAACGCGGCTCGACGTAACACCGGATCATTAAAGTGCAGCTTTACCTTTAGTGTATATTCATGTAACTAGTTCCTTTCTCTCAAAACAGTTCACTTATTTCGTTTTTTCATATATTCTGTGTTGTTTGGCCTCTGCTTTTACAGACAGAAAAGTTAAACCGAGAGAACCACCCTCACACAGCCAATCAGCTCTCAGCCCAAAGTATCAAAGAGTGACTCTCAGGGCTCATTCTCACACCTAAGCAAAAGATAACATGTTTCTAATAAGAATAATGTGGTTTAATTTGTAAAAGTATAATACATAAATGAATATAATTATGAATCAGACCACAATCCTGTCCTCAGCTTAATGGACATTCTATCTTTTGCATACTCGTGAGAAAGAGTCCTGTGAGTCACTGTTTGACGATTTGGTCTGAGAGCTGATTGGCTGAGAGCTGATTGGCTGAGAGCTGATTGGCTGAGAGCTGATTGGCTGAGAGCTGATTGGCTGAGAGCTGATTGGCTGAGAGCTGATTGGCTGAGAGCTGATTGGCTGAGAGCTGATTGGCTGAGAGCTGATTGGCTGTGTGAGGGTGGTCCTCTCGGTTTCACTTTTGCGTCTGAAAAAAGCTGTTCTAATAATTTGAAAAAGGCCAATAATGTGAGTGAAAACTAGAATCAAAGAGTTTTGAGAGCGAGGAAACAGCACAGATGGCAGATTGTTGATTTCACTGGTTGTGAAGTTAGGTACCCCAGCTTTAAAGTGATTACTTATGAACAGTTTTTTTCAAAGCAGATCAGAGATGAATGACATGGATTGGCCTAACTCCAAACCACTTATTGCTATATAATAATACTACTATTGATCAGGACTAAACATGATTTATGCCATTAAGTCCTGGAAAAGTCTTCCTGAAAATGTGAGACAAGCTTCTACTCTGACAATTTGTGCCAATCTTGTTTAGTTAAGCACTTTCAGTTACTGCTATACAAATAAACTTGCCTTGCTTACTTTGACAGAATCCAAAAAACAGGTCTGAGGTGATTCTGAGCTAACGTTAGCATAAGAGGGACATGTTTTGTGTTTGGGTAGTAAGCTAGCACAGTAGCTAGCTAGCACCAGGCTAACACACACGTGAAATATACTGGAATATTCCAGGAAAAAGTTTATTAAAAGTCATTCATTTCCGAATTTGTAAAAATAAAGAGATCTTTTTCCACATGTGTGTGCAACATAAAATAGCTTTTTGTAACTTGTTATTTTATATAGAATCATACTTTATATATACATATACAATATTTTCCCTTAAAGATAATTAGCTTTACTTGGCAAGGCAAACGACATTACAGCTAACATCTGTGCTAATGCTAAAAAATCGACTGATATTTCCATGTTACCTTGACCTCAAGACGTGTACAATGATAAAATTAATAAAAATAGACATTTAATTTTATCTGTACACGTGGACCTGTGGAATATAGAGTGGAGTGTCATGTTGTTTGTGGACAGCAGGGGGCGCAACTGTTTTGTTGTTTGTTCAGGTTTTGAGGTCCTTTCTTCCCTGAAGAAGTCCCCAGGTTGAGGACGAAACGTCGGGAAAACTTGCTAAGAAGTACAGATGATGGGTGAGAAACCTTCCTTTGCTTTGACTAATCCCTGTACGACTGAGGGCTTACACAAACTTGTCCTTTGAAATAAGTTCTTATTTTAGAAAAATGCTTTCAACTCTGGGCTAGGATGAAATTGAAAACTTATATTAGACTAATGTTAAACCTCTGAACCTGGCTTCAGCCTGCATCCTGCTCCCCATCTGAGAGCCCCCTCAGTGCTGGGTCTACAGCCTCAGTCCTGGGTCTGCAGCCTCAGTCCTGGGTCTACAGCCTCAGTCCTAGGTCTACAGCCTCAATCCGGGATCGACAGCCTCAGTCCTGGGTCTACAGCCTCAGTCCGGGGTCTGCAGCCTCAGCCCTTGGTCTACAGCCTCAGCCCTGGGTCTACAGCCTCAGCCCTGGGTCTACAGCCTCAGTCCTGGGTCTGCAGCCTCAGTCCTGGGTCTGCAGCCTCAGTCCTGGGTCTGCAGCCTCAGCCCTGGGTCTGCAGCCTCAGCCCTGGGTCTACAGCCTCAGCCCGGGATCGACAGCCCGCCCTCTCTCTCTTTTTCCCCATTGGGTCTTTTTGAGTCGTTCAAACTGTTCGAACGGTTTGATTCTCTGATCTCTTGTTGGTGAATCAGAAACTGTATTAAAGTCCTCTGAGAAGACTGCTCTGATGATTTAGGGTGATACAAAAAATAAATGCAATGTTTTTATTCAATGTATTATTTTTTTCTTTCAATGTTAGACACTGCAGCTTTAAGGCAGACTCAGCTTGACGACTGCAGGTTCAAATCCCACGTTTTCTAAAAAGATGAACCCACAGGTTGTAGTCAGATTTATTCACATGCTACTTATATTGCTATGTATAAGGAGATAAAGTTACATACCCCAGCTTTAAGCCGGCTCCGCCCAGCTCATAATGAAAGTGAATAGTTGCAGTTTGACAGAGTGAACAAAGCGACGCCACACTGAGGAAACATTTACCTTTTTAATGAACCCTGATTATTATGTAATTACAAATGCAGATTAACAAAGAGAGTAGAAAGAGGTCTTCTCCGATGGGACGTCCCACCAGAGCTCACCCAACCAGACAATTCAAAATAACACATCGAATAATAATGAACAGTACATGTTTTTGTCTTACAGAATTTTCCAAAATAAAAAGAGAAAAAAATATATACACAAACAATACCAAATAAAAAGTTGTTCTCCCGTCTGTATACAACATGTCAGGACCCCCTTTTTGTCCGTGTAGGTTAAAAAAAACTCAGCGCAGGTTAAAAAATAAAATACACAAAAGCGACTAATGAGTGCAAAACGGAACAACAACAACGCACAGGAGGAGGCTGCGTACAAAATAAGCCCAAAGTTAATAAAACAATTACAATAAAAAACAGTTACATGAGTGAAAGTACAGAAATATCAACGGCTGCAACAGAGTGGGATTTTGGTAAAGGTTTTCAGACGCAGCACAAGTTTAGAGACAGGATTTAACAAGATGTGGTCAGTAAATTATTATGTAAAAAAGTATCATCGGCTGTAGATATGTCCCTGTATCTAATGGGCTTAACATTTTTTGCTTTTTGAGTCCCTGGTTTGTCAAAAGTGTAGAGAAACTCAGATAATAATCGTCTATGGTAAGAGTAGCAGGATTGGGTCTGAGGACAGTGAAGATCCAAGAGATTTGTTGATATTTATTAGACATGGATCGGTCGCTCTTTGCTATTGCTGCCTTTCTTGTGTTTGAAATGCGATTCTCTGATCTGTTCTTGGGGAATCGACAACTTTATAACCTTCGCATGCATACGTTCAAACCATGTAAACTATGCCAAAAAGCTGAAAATCACATCCGCTGGCAAAATATCAAAAAGATTTCTGTATTTCTGTATATCCACCTTGTGACCTGTCCTGCTCCACAACAGCGGCTACTCCATCTCTTCTTCTGTGACCTGAAGTTGCTGATTATTACTATTTTTTTTTACTTTTTAGAATGATCAATTTTATATATATACATTTTTTGCTGCTACTGGACACTTTCATTTCTCCTACAGGGATCAATAAAGTATCTATTTGCTGGACTAAAAGCGGCTACTTTTTAAAGTTTGACTCCTAGTTATAGTCGCTATAGTAAATCAGCTGTATTATCAAAATAGAAAATTGCTAAGATAAGTCCTAGACCAGGACGCTAACATTTAGGGTTTTATGCTAACATGAGCTAATGTTTGCCTTGTCCCAAATTGCGTTAATAACCTTAACTTTGTCCATAATAAAATAAAAACGCACAACATTGCTCCATCAGCTGTAGATTTGACTTTATCTACAACATGAAAACCTCTGCCGTGTATTCAAGTGTGGCTTATATGTGAACAAAATTGACTTTCCAATTTCTGCTGGTGAGGTTTAAACACAGATGCACTTACTCGTCCAGCAAACACTGTAACAATCTAAACTGAGTGGTGCAGGACGCTAAATGCTAAATGCTAACAGTCTCCATGTCTCCACACACACACACACACTCACACAAATCCAGGATCACGTTTCCACTGGTTCAGACCAAAGCTGCTCTTGTGGGAAGTCCCCGGTCTACGTGAGGTTTTCTGACGTCATTGTCGGTGCAGTATCCAGTGATTACGTCTTTGAGCTGGAGCAGAGCGGCTTTAAACTAAATAAAGATGGTTACAGCTGATTCAGAGTAATAGGCTATCCAAACAAGCGGTCAGTGAGAGTATATGGAACTTGATTGTGGCGTCAAAGTGTTTCTGTCTGCTCTACGGTGATAATCTGCGTTGATGTTGGTGAGTTCCCAAAACACACAGAGCCGTGACCCAAATATGAATGATTTTAGTATTTAAATAAAGCAAAAATACTGTATATTCCAAAATTAGGACTTAAATCAGGAAAATTGACAAAAAATGTTACTGGAATAAGTGAATTTGTCCAACTGGGGAAAGTTTTACACTATTTTTAAAGTAAATTAAAGCTGGGGTACCTACATTTCCACTGAGGACTGCTCTCACTTGAAAAGCTTGAAGCCTAAAGCGTCAAATAGTGACTCAACGGGCTCTTGAATATGGAAAATGAAACATGTTTTCTAATGAGACGATTTGTTCATTACTAAACACTTTCCATTGGGACCAGCACATGTTTTTTAATGAGGCAAAAGTCAGGTACCTCAGCTTTAAGTTTGTATCTGCACTTTAGAAGGATAAAAACGTATTAATCCATTCTTAAACCAAGGGGAAATCTATCCTCTGAAAAAAAGAAATCTAATTTCTTGTGTAAAACAATGTTACGGAAAAATATACAAGAAAATACAAGTGGCTCAAACATGTGCGTATCACTAAAACCAACATTGACAGAGAAAAACCTTATAATACGGTGAAAACCTGTGACCCTTTCAAAAAACACCACTTTGTTGCAGTCTCACTAAACCTGGGTCAAAACTGTCCCTAGTTTTACAATAGGGAAAGATTTTAAAACAAAAAGAGAGTGCAAAATGTGTTTTTTTCTTTTACAAAAGCTCTCTGGCACTGACTACTTTTGCTCTAATACAGGGACGTGAAACTGGTCTTCAGAGGGCAGGGCTGGCTGCGGGTTTTTACTCCAACAAAGAAGGAGCACAGTAGACTTCACCCATTTCAACTGAGTCCAGGTTAAGGGAGAGATCAGAGAGAGGGACCAGAGAGAGCCCAGAGAGAGCCCAGAGAGAGACCAGAGAGAGACCAGAGAGAGCCCAGAGAGAGCCCAGAGAGAGACCAGAGAGAGACCAGAGAGAGACCAGAGAGAGACCAGAGAGAGCCCAGAGAGAGCCCAGAGAGAGACCAGAGAGAGACCAGAGAGACATCAGAGAGACATCAGAGAGAGCCCAGAGATGGATCAGGGAGAGACCAGAGAGAGAGACTAGAGAGAGCGACGAGAGAGATGAGAGAGATATCGGAGAGTGACCAGAGAGAGAGAGACCAAGAACAGAAAGAGAAGAGAGAGACCAGAGAGATACCGGAGAGCAACCAGAGAGAGGAAGGGACCAGAGAACGTGACGGCTCCTGCTTGGTTGGAATAAAACCCTGCAGCCACACCTGCCCTTTCTGCAGTCAGTTTGACACTCTTGCCCTAAGAATTCCAGAACAAAAAGGAAACAAAAGTAAAGTTTTGACCGAGATCTTTGCAGAATCTCCCCTGAATCATTAAGACTAGGACCGCTCCGAAGGCTAAGGTGAACTGCTAAGGCTGATACATGGCCATTAAAATATGTACAGGTCTCTAGCATGAAAAATAGCATCTTCCTGATTTCTTGTATCAAATTCTTTACTTGAAATATACCATTTGAATTCAATATATATATATATATTTGAATAAAATATACAAGCGTTTAGTTCTTTGAGTCTTCTTACAAAACGCTTGAAGGCATGATGGCTGCACGGTGATGGTGCAGGGAATTGGCAATTTACAAAAAGGCACACATTACTGTATATATGTTTAAGTGTGTGGGGGAGGGAGAGGAGAAAAGTCTTTTTGAAATACATAAAAATAAGTTCTCAGTAAAGGTTTTGCCTGAGTGGATGCTTGACATTCGTGTGACATTGTTCCCAAAGATATTTATAAACAAGAAAAGTACATAGAAAATCACTGCAATGCCCATAGGAGTAATACATGTATAGGTGCACTGTTTAAGCGTCTTTAGGCAACAACAACAAAATAATAATAATGAAAGTAACGAGGGGAATGAACGATATTCTCTCCGCGGGGTGGGAAACGCCTCCTTTTGTATCCGTGACAGTTCGAACGACGACTGTAGTAATTGCAGGTTTGCCAAGTCGCTGCTTCCTAATGTCCACCCTCCGACAACAAGCAAATCTGTACAGCAAAGCGAGTCCGATGGTTAAAAAAGGGCCAGTATTTTGCAGTTTGGAATCACGTTTTTATACAATCACGGCCGCTTCTCTGAGCTCCGACATCGTAGTGTGTGAGAGGGCGACTTTGAAAGAGGAGAAAGAGACGATTGGTCGAGTTTGTTGCATGGTGGAGTCCAGAGTGAAGGCGTTTCTAGATAGACATAGGCAGGTTTTAACACTAGAACTCCCAGGAGCAGTCAATTTGACGGATTTCTTTTTTTTCTTCAGTGTTATTACAATGATTTTGAATTTTGGCCTTCTTAATTTTGTGAATTTTCTTAGTTCCTTGATGTAATTTAATTCTGTGTTATAATTTTTAAGAAGCTTTTGACGGCTCCATTTATTTTTTGTTGTGAAATTCAAACTTCAACAGACAAAAACCCTGTTCTGTTGCTTTCCAAACAACACTTCATGTGAGTAAATAAAACCCTGTGTCTCAAGGTGCTGGTCCTGGACTGGTTCTTGCTCAGCCTGGCTGTCGACCTGAGAATCGCAGGGGCTAGTTACCATAGCAACACACCGTTTAGATGCTAGCAGTTAGTATTTGGTAGCTTTTGAATAAACTGCTTTTTTGTATTTCAAGTTATATCCAGCAGCTTTAGTATGTATGAAAGGTAGAAACCATATTAATTGCTTAGTTTATAACACATTTGTGAGAACGATTTGAATGGGAGGTGTCAAAAAGACGGCCCTGGGAGTTGTATTAGTGTCAGAATTCTGGGAGTCCTGGAGTCAAGCAACGTCTGCGTGTTAAACAATGTCTAGGGATGGGCTTAAATGACAAACCGAGCAAATAAAATCCATCTTTTTTTTTTTTTTTTTTTTTTAGGAACAAAGCTTTTGCTCGCTGCCAGTAGATTGTGTTAAAACATATTCTGGGCACATGGTGATCTGCAAGAGGCTGGCAAGGCTCCGCTGGCACAAACAGGCACCGGAGAAGAAGAAAGCAGTGTGTGAATCCCTCATATTGAAGATTCCAGTCTCTTTTCAGTCTTTTAGTGTTGCAAGTTTGGTGAAAGTGTCCGTTTTGTTTCAGAGGCACAATGTAGAGCTGGGTTAAAATGGCTCCACGAGAGATCACGCAAACCAGGAGCCAAACACTGAGAAACTGCAACGCTAAAGCTAATACTGAAACGCAAAATGTCGCTGTGGGTGTGCGAGCGATTTCTTTTTCTATTTCATACCGGTATGTACAGTCTGTGCTTTGAGAGAGAGGCCCTTGTATGCAAAACATTCCAAAAAAAACGGGGCAGAAGGTAAAATAACGTGGATTTGTCTGTTAAAATGCCCATATCAAACTTTGGGATAAAATTTGGTTATAAAAATGTGAAAAATAAAAGATGCATGGCCTGTTATACGTTTGCTAAAAAAGCCACTATTTCATATACAAAAATACATGATGCTATGCTAACGGTGTGGGTTTTAAATGGGTAAACCTCGCTATGGTCTCCTCTGCGGTCTGCGTGGAGAAGAGGCCGTACATTCTGTGTCTGTGTGCGCTGGGCATCAGCAGCTGGGGTTTTCCAGAGACAGTTGCGCCGTCGCTCTCTGGAGCTCGGAGCTGGCGCGGCGCTGGGTGGGGGGGGGCGGCGGTGGCAGAGAGAGGCCCAGGATCACTGCTCCTCTGGCGGGCGCGAGCTCCTCCTGCGCTCCTCCCCTCGGCTCCTCCTCCAGACGCTCCTGTCCGTCAGCGCGCACCTTCTTGTCCTCAGCCTCACCGTCCCGCTCGGCTTCTGAAATGGGAAAACGTGGGAATGTTATACTAATATGTATGTTTCAGTTTGTTATTAGGTTCTGTGCCGGGGATCCCACTCTTCACCAGCACCAACAGAGCGACACACACATATTTCTGCTTAAAACAAAATGTGATTAGATTTAACACATCATTTTACATTTAATATTATCTAATGATGTGTTGGATTAAATAATTAATAGTATCAATGTTCAATGTGGATATTTTACTGAGAAAATATATCATGTACAACAAGCCTTGGTGGTCCATTACCATTAATGCCATCCATCCATTTTCTTCCCCTTAATCCATTTCTGGGTCAGGGGGGTGGCAGTCAGAGCTGCACCCAGTACACAGAGCACCAGCCCCTCGCTGATCCTCCTGCAGGTGGTGAGTCCACAGGAGCTGAGATCTTTCAGTTGGGGCTTCAGGCAAAGTAGGGTTAAGTGTCTTGCCCAAGGACACAACGACAGCAGTCATCAGTGGGAGTCGTGAAGTAGGTCTTATGGTGGGCTCGAACCCACGACCTTCAGGCCCAAAGGCCAATGCTCTACCAACTGAGCTACTGTCGCCCCATTACCATTAATGCTGCAAGTTAATTATAATAATAAAAAATATGATATTCTCAACACTGAAAACATTTCTGCTTTTATCAAATGAGTTCTGTTCACTTGTTGTTCTCTTTCACATGAATCTAAGTCATCATAAAGATTACACAATTCCCAGGAAACAAAATTGCTAAAAAAAAGCTGTTTTGTAACTGAATCATTTGATTGACTCATTCTAGGCAATGAGTGTTTTGCCTAAGGACACAATGACAGTTTGGCCCAGGTCTCTCATCACAGTACTAACCAGGCCCTGCCCTACTTAGCTTTCGAGGTCTGACACACTCTGGCTTTCCCTGCAGGAATGACACTTCAGACCCACCTCTGCCGTCGGCCTCTGTCTTCTGGTCCTCGCTCCAGCGCCTCTTGAACCTCAGCTTGAGGGGGATGCAGCGTGTTCCTCCAGGACTCACGGGGGCGCTGCTGCCCGGCTCTGCTTTGAGACTGAGCGCGGGGAACGGCATGACGCCTGCGGGGGGCGTGGCCGGGGTCTTGAACACGTCTTCGTCATCGTCTTCCTCCGCGGCTCCGTTGGCGTGCGGCAGCGTGCTCGCTCTGACGCTGCTGTGGTGCCGCAGGACGCCGCCGTTGCCGTGGTGAAGCAGGAGGCGGTGACGGGACAGTGGTGTGAAGATGCCGCCGCAGTCTTCCTCCTCGTCATCGTCGTGGTGATTCATATCCTCGTCCTCCTCGCTGATGTCCGTCACCTCCACTTCCTCGTCCGACTCCATGTCTGAGATCTGCTCCACCTGAGAATTCAGAATATCAGCGATTTCAAATATTAGTGATGGGGAAAAAACACATTTTCTTTTGCGATATTTAGTGCACGGATTTAAATGGATACAGTAGAGCAAGTGTTGCAATAATCAATAAAAATAAATATCTTTTGGAAACTGTTTTATAAAATGTGCTATATAGATAAAGTGGATTGGATCTAATAAACTTGACAAATCTTGCCCTGGTCACACCTTGATCTTTGGGGGTCCTGCGCTCATGTTTAGACTGGACCCAGAGAACGGTCCAGAAGCGGCTGCTGAGGAGGAGGACGCGGACGAGGTACTTCCTGTCTCGCGGTGCTTCCTTCCGAGCGGTGGCGGCTGCAGCTTGAACTTGAACTCGTCGGCGGCTCCCAGCGACTGCCCCAGCGACTGCCCCAGCGACTGCCCCAGGGGGTGAGAGAGGCCGTGGAGCAGTGCGTGCTTGTCGAGCGCCGGTCTGTGCGGCTGCGGCACGATGATGTTGGGGTAGGGCAGGAAGGCGCGCGGGCTCAGGTGGTAGTTGTACACGGACTGGGTGTGCGCCTGCAGGTAATGGTTCATGTCCTCCGCGTTGAAGGAGAAGTGAGAGCCCATGAGCGGGGAGGCCAAGGAGGGAGAGGGCGTGAAGGGGAGGTGAGGGGTGGGCGTCATGGACATAGCAGGGGAGAGGGGCGGCAGCAGACCCGGCCCCGGCAGAGGAGACACTGGGAAAGGCGAGAGCGGGTCTCCGTGGACTCTGGGCGTGGGGCGAGCCAGTCCTGCCGGGCCGTACAGTCTGAAGAGAGAGTCGTGGGGGAGGCGCGGCGGGAGCAGGCCTCTGTACGCGCGCTCCGGACCGCCACTGCCGCCGCCGCCTCGCTCCTCGGCTCCGGCCTCCTCCAGCTCGGAGTTGGTGGAGGTGCCGTCGCTGCAGTCGCTGACGGAGCCGCGGGCCATGCGTCGGCTCACGGCGCTGTACATGGCGCCCGGGCTGCGCAGCTCCTCGCTGGATGATAGCACGTCTGAGGGCGTGGACGGCGGGAAGCGGAAGTGAGAGCCTCCAGACGGGACGGGAGGAGCGCTTTGGGGAACGCCACGACCTGCGACACACGACAAACACCATAAGAGTAAGAAAGAAGAGATTTTAGTTTTTCACAGATTAGGGTTAGACAGGCAAAATTGGGGAATAGTTTTTTATTTTCTTCTGTGTGGTTTAATTTATAGCTCTAATTTTTATGGTATTTTTAATGTATTTTGAAACGCACAGCCTCCGTTCTCGCTCGAGTCCTGGATCCATAGCAGGTCCGTCCATCCCTCAATGTAGGTCTCCTTTAAGATTCTCCAGTTTTCTCCTACTAGGTTTTTTTAGTTGTTGCTTGTTGGAGGGTCAGGCCACAGTGACAGTGTTGATGCAGATCATTTTGTATCCATAAATAGCCAATCATAAATGTCCTGGATATTGGTCATCCGCTATGGACCAATGGCTCTGCATTTATTATTGTTGCATTTCTTGTGCCTGAACTGTTTGATTCTTTGATCTGTGTTGGCAAATCTTTTAAGTATTTAAATGTATTGTTTAATACTCATTTACTGATAAAGCTACTTTGTACTTGTGGTACTAGTAGAATCGAATCATGTCTTACTAAAATAAATAAAATGACCGCAAACCAGTGTTAATATAAACAAATAGTGTAAAATAAAAGGCATCTGCAGTAGGTGGAACAGAGCTTGTCGACTGTTGGGACTCTTTCAAATACTAGAATATGTATTGTTTGAAATACAGAAACTAATTATGAATAGAAGTTAATTTGAAACTAAAACACTTACATTATATAGATTACATTCAAATAGTGCCTTCTATGTTTGTAGATACACACAATAGAGATGCAGCACTATTAAAGGAGGATAGCCAGGCGCTTCTCATGGGCTACTATTCTTGTAATAATCCATTCTAAATTTGGGAAACACACATCAACAATAGTAAAAGCTCAAAAACGGGATTGTGGCGAGACTTTTACAAACGGAGAAAGAGCAGAGAGTTTAGACAGAGCCACAGTCGTCTGCTTTCTGAGACCGATGCTGTGTGTTTTTGAACCAGGAGTCTGTGTTGTTGCTGGTAAAATATTGGAAAAGTGTGTGCCATCACAAACAGGGACCTCCTACTTTTCCTCTGTGTGTGTATGTGTGCATGTATGTGTGCGTGTATGTGTGCGTGTAGGTGTGTGTGTGTGGCGCTGTCTAAACTTGAACCAGAGTCATGTCTGGAGCAGAGCGGAGGCCAGGGGAGTCGGTCGGGGCAATTAACTACTGTGTGGAGGTCTGGTGTAAGAGAGGACCTTTATTCCTTCCACTGTGGGTGAACTCTGGGAGAACAGAGAGTTCTGAGGAAGCACTTTTAGTTTGGGAAGCGTATTACTCTTGTATGTACCTATTTGTTCTTTATAAGTTTTGACTTTTTCTGTCATTATTTCAAGTCCGTCAAGTCATTATTTGTATGACAATTATCTTCAATTTCAAATGTGGCAATATTTGGTAGCTTTCTCTCGGAGGCAGTTAGTTTTCAAGGTGCTGGGTCTGGTCCGGGTCTGGACCGGCTTGGTTTTCCACTGGAGAAGAGCAAATGCTAGTTACTATAGCAACACACGTTTATTAACCAGCAGTTAGCATTCGCTCTTTAGCATTATGAATGATGGAGTATTGCACAATATTACTGCTAAAGTTTAGTAAATTATTATTACAATTACATAATCTGTGTTTAAATAAATCAGTGAACAGGGGCTCACTATCAAACAGACTATAAAAGGACTATCGGTATAAACAGCAAGTTAAGACTTCAGAAAGTATTTAGAATCATTATTTTTTGGTACATATTTTAGTCTGGTTTCTGTACTGGATCTGGGTTCATCTGTTCTGTGTCTTTAAGTTTATGAAAAATGCATATATATGTAAAAACATCAACCATCAAACGACTAAACTTAACTTCCTATTTAGACATGTTAACAAGAATGAGACGTTTTACTCATGTGCCTGAGTGGCAGGTGAATAATAGTTGCCATAGTATCAGCGTTAGCAACTGTCCAATTGCTGAGACAAGCAATCAACGCAAGACTATTTTATCAGAAAAATAAAACACATTTGATGAAGCTGGTCGAAGCAGTAGCCTCGAGCATAGAGACAGAAGAGGCTAAAACATCATGGGTGGAGTAGAAATAGCATAGACATAACATAACATTTAATTTCTTTTTAAGGTCTACCTACACAGAACATGTTTTGAAAGCCAGAAGAAGCATACCGTTCTAAATTGAATTAGTGCTTGATTATAATTCACTAATCAAAGTACAAACACTTTAAATGTGATTAATTGCACAGTAATAAAAGGGGGTCATTTTTAAAGTCAGTTTGAAACCACTGATCCCTGTGAAAGTCTGCATCAAACCCCAGACTGACTCAAAGCGTGACGGCGTGTGGGCCGCATTAGACAGACGGTATAATTAAGAGTTTGCTCTTATGTCATGGCTGCATACGAGTCGTGTTTACGGAGGGGCGGCCCGGGACGGGGGGAGGCAGACGAGACCTCAGAGGGAGGAGACCGTGGCGAGGTTTATAGACACAAACAAAGCTACTAAAATTAATGTCCTGTAGGAAATTGGTTCGACAAATGTGGCTTTGAGAGAGCGCGATTCAAGCTGGAGAGGCTGTTTATGAAAGGAAAAAGTTAAAGAACAAGTTGAATGTTAGAAAAGTGATGGAGGGAGAGAGAGTCAGTGAGAGAGAGAGAGAGACAGTGAGAGTCAGTGAGAGTCAGTGAGAGTCAGTGAGAGTCAGTGAGAGTCAGTGAGAGAGTGAGAGTCAGTGAGAGAGTGAGAGTGAGAGAGAGACAGATACAGTGACTGAGCGAGACATACACACACACAGCGAGAAACAGAATGACAGAGATAGAGACATAGTGAGGGAGAGAGAGACACAGACAGAGCGACAGAGAGTGAGAGAGACAGAATTAGAGAGAGAGAGCGTGAGAGACACAGAGAGCAAGAAAGAGACACACACAGAGCGAGAGAGACAGAGAGAGAAAGAGATACAAGAGTGAGAGACAGACACACGGAGGGAGCGAAAGACCGAGACATACACAGACACAGCGAGAAACAGAATGACAGAGATAGAGACACAGTGAGGGAGACAGACACACAGACGGAGAGAGAGAGAGCGAGAGAGCGTGAGAGACACAAACAGAGAGAAAGAAAGCGACACAGACACAGAGAGCGAGCGAGACACATAGAAAGACAGACACAGAGGGAGCAAAAGAGAGAGAGAGAGAGAACAAAAGAGAGAGACAGACTGGGAAAGAGAGAGAGTGACCGAGTTACAAAGAACTATCCAAGTTAGACTGGGTTCACACTCCAGTTTAGTGAAAGTGTGGGCTGGGAACTAATACACTTGCCTGGGATTACAGTAGTTAGAAGTAGTTGGGGGGTGGGTGTTGGGTCAGAGAGTGTTTGGAAGTGATATCTCAATGTAAACCTAAAGATCCTAGAGAGAGCTAAACCAAAGAAAGTTTTCTAAGCCCAAACTGGTGAGTGTGACGCAGTCGATTACTGAGCGAGAGGAGTTTACTTTAACGTGGAAGTCTGTGGGAGCCAGAGCGAGTTGGAGCAAAACTGAAGCTCCAGCTATTTACAGGCTTTATCTAACCCCTTTTCATAACATCGAACATACGGGTTTGTGTTGTACATGTTCTGAATAAACATTTTCCTTTCTCTGTCCACTATTCTTTGGACTTGTATAGGACAACTTTTCGTTGTCCTATACAAGCCACCGCAGTCATGTCACAGTTTTATTGATAATTTTACAGAGTTGCTTTCAGTTGTATGCACAGATTTTGATAGTTTAGTTATTACAGGTGATTTTAATATTCATGTGGATAATGTTGATGACAGAAATGCTAAAGAGCTGAGTTCTCTTCTTGAATCTTTTGGTCTCACTCAGCATGTGAGTGGCCCCACCCACAGCAAAGGGCACACTCTAGACCTGTTAGTTACAAAGGGGGCGAACATATATAATGTAAACGTGGTCGATGTTGCGCTTTCGGATCATTTTTGTATATTTTTTGACATGTGTTTCACTAACAAACCACCAGTGGACTCTGCAACTGTACGAAGAAGACACATAAATGAAAATACGGGTGAACTATTTATGGGAATGATAAACTTTGAGAATGCATCGTATTCTACTGTAGATGAACTGTTTAACTCTGTCACCTCTAGTGTTTTGAAAGTTCTGGACACCATCGCTCCTGTGAAGGTTAAAATAGTGAAAAATAAGCAGAAGGCGCCGTGGGCTAAAGCAGACTCGGTCAGAGCACAAAAGAGAGAGTGCCGGAGGGCCGAGCGGAAGTGGCGCAAGTCCAACCTCCAGGTTGATTACAAGATCTTCAAAGATAAGTTGTGCGAGTTTAACCAGGTGCTACGTAGTACAAGAGAAAGGTATTTTTCTGAAATGATTGAAGGCTGCAGCAACAATCTGCGTGTTCTGTTTTCAACAGTTAATAGATTAACAAACCCCCCTGTTCAAATGCCATTAGAGCTAACTTCCAAACGTAAATGTAATGAGTTTGCACATTTTTTCAATGACAAGGTTCAAGGCATCAAAAACGCCATTGTCTCCAATCCACAGATAACAATCCAACAGCCAGAAAGGCTCTTTGAGCTAACTTACTTTGCACCTGTAAATGATCAAACTGTCCAAGAGATAATCTCCAGTTTGAGCTCCTCCACATGCAGCCTGGATGTACTACCCACTAGATTTCTAAAGTCTGTTCTGAGCAGTCTGTTACCTTCACTCACACAGATAGTAAACATGTCCCTTGATTCTGGAATATTCCCAAAGGCCCTGAAAACTGCAGTCATCAGGCCCCTGCTAAAAAAGAGCAGTCTGGATGCTACGGTACTTAACAACTATCGTCCCATCTCAAATCTGCCATTTATGGGGAAAGTCCTTGAGAAAGTTGTCTACCTACAGCTTACTAGATTTCTTATAATCAACAACTCATTTGATATGTTTCAGTCCGGCTTTAGACCCCACCACAGCACTGAGACTGCTCTCGTTAAGGTTACAAACGATATCCGGCTGAACACTGACGCAGGCAAAGTCTCAATCCTAATCCTGTTAGATCTAAGTGCTGCCTTTGATACTGTCGACCATGAGATCCTCTTACAGAGACTAGAGGACTGGGTTGGCGTCGCTGGCACCGCCCTAAGTTGGTTTAGGTCTTACCTTGAAGACAGGAAGTACTTTGTGGAGATTGGAAACTGTGTCTCAGATCATATGGCCCTGACCTGTGGAGTACCACAGGGGTCGATCCTGGGACCTCTTCTGTTCAATCTCTACATGCTGCCGTTAGGTCAGTTAATACGCAGAAACAAAGTTTCCTATCATAACTATGCAGACGACACTCAGATCTATGTCTCACTGACTGCAGGAGAACATGGACCAGTGGACTCACTCCTTCACTGTATCCAACAGATCAGTGAGTGGATGCAAAACAACTTCCTTCAGCTAAACGCAGACAAAACTGAAATGATTGTCTTTGGTCCCCAGAAACAAAGAGAGAGCGTCATCTGTCACCTACAGTCTCTCTCCCTAAAACCTTCAAACAAGGTCAGAAATCTAGGGGTAATACTGGACTCAGACTTAAATTTTAATAGTCACATCAAATCAGTAACATCAGCAGCTTTTTACCATCTAAAAAACATTGCCAGGATCAAAAACATAGTGTCTAAAGCAGACTTGGAGATTCTTATCCATGCATTTGTCTCCAGTAGGTTAGACTACTGCAATGGCCTGCTCACAGGTCTGTCCAAACAGGCTGTAAAACAGCTGCAGTACATTCAAAATGCAGCAGCTCGAGTCCTGACTAGAACCAGGAAGTACGACCACATTAGTCCGGTCCTCAGGTCCCTGCACTGGCTTCCTGTGGCTCAGAGAATAGACTTTAAAACAGCTCTGCTTGTGTACAAATCTCTCCATGGCCTCGCACCAAAATATATTAGTGACATGTTAGTCCCATATGAACCAGCCCGGACTCTGAGGAGCACAGGGACTGGACTCCTGTTAGTGCCCAGAGTCAGAACTAAACATGGGGAGGCTGCTTTTCAGATTCATGCTGCTAAAATCTGGAACAATCTTCCTGAAGATGTGAGACAGGCCTCCTCTCTGACAATGTTTAAAACCAGGTTAAAAACGGTGCTGTTTAGCTGTGCATACAACTGAGGGATTTTATATTTTTATCTTTCGTTTTAATGTTCTGTAATTATTTATGATTTTAATGCCATCTTGTTCAGCACTTTGAGTTGCCTTGTGTATGAATTGTGCTATACAAATAAACTTGCCTTGCCTTCTAATATTCTAAAGCTGAAGGTAAAAGTGTCATAATCAAGTTTGATAAAAATACAAGAAATGAAGGACGTTAAACATTCAAACTGTTTGAGTCCGTCTTACATAACCTTGTTACGTTTGAGGTGATGTAACAGCTGAACAATACTATCGCTACAATACGAAAGCCTTCACCGGGTCAGTCAACCTCAACATTCTAGAAAACCTCTGCTCTCTGTTGCCGAGGAGAATTCACACATAATGGCATTAGGTTAACCCTAAGCCTAGCGTTTACAAGGATCATTATCAGACAAAACGTCCATAGACATAAAGAAGACAGACATTATGACATGGACAATGATCATGTGTATAATGTAAATGTGAGTTGACAAAAAGTAGAGAAAACGGCTTAAAATAATATACACTATACTTAACATATGGAACCAACTGTGATCAATCACCAAACATATAAGAAATAACATAAAAACTATTTGATGTCTGAAAATGGGAATATTTCTCAGAAGTTCATGTATTTCTTTACTTAAATGTAAAAAGTCAATATATTATATCAACTAACCTATGGCAAGCCTTTTTAAAAATGTTTGGCATCATACCAAAAATGCTGAACGTTTTACAAAGGCATGACATCATAGGCTGAGATCATACTTGAGTGAATTATCTTCAATTATCGTAATTTCTAACCCGAAACCGGCACATACCTGAGCCCATGTCGATGAAGGGGTAGTTGACCAGAACCAGTTTGTTGAAGTTGAACTTGTAGGTGAATCGTTTGCCTTTGGTTTTGTGGAGTATCCTCTTGTTGTAGTAATATCTGAAAATAAATGAAATGGGTAAATATACTTTTCAATACAAAGCCCCCACGAGCACTGGCTGGAATCTACCTCCACCTTTTGTACCGTTTTAACTTTTTCTTTACTTCATTCATTCATTAGAAACCATACATGTGAGGAGAGTGGGTGACCTCTGTTAGTTGTGCGTGTGTGAGTGCGTTTGTATATGTGTGAGTGTGTGTGTGAGTGTCTGTTTAGTGAAAATCTGATTCTCTACCATCTCAAATTGAATGCGATTGATAAAGATGCACGTAAACTGCACTGAGTGAAAAACTGGTCCATTTGGAGCTGGTGCCAATTCTGCTGCTGTTGAGCTACACGTAAACAAGTCAATTGGATCCTCGTGAGACATCAGACAGAGATGCATTTAAGAGCACAGGGAAAAGCCAAGGTTGCGTTAGAAATGTATGAACTTGGACGGATAAGAGTCTCACACATTTTGTTTGGGGTCAACACACTTCGCTGTGTTTTCTTGTGTTTTGATCGACAAAGCAGAAACTAAAGAAATCCAATGGTGCGTTTTTCAATGAAAATGAACAAAAAAAACGTGTTCACATTTTTGACTGCGTGATAGCTTTGTTATTTACAAGTACAGTAACAAAGTTTGAGTGATAAAGGGAAAGTTACGAGTTGCCTTTGAAAGCGCCAAAACTCGTCCGACTGGTTTGATAATCCCGCTGTAATGAGTGCGGTTTTTGAAAGTACAGAATGAAGACAATGAGCGTCCTCTGTCCTCAATCTCCTTCAACAGGAAAAGCTACAACAGGACAAAATCCAAATCAATATCTTCATTCAGACATTTGTGAAACTATCAATTCAACTAGAACATAATGGCTCTGTTCAGTGATGGCCTGAGGATGTGGTCCACGAGGGCAGGTGCGGCTGCATTAGTCACGTCTCCTCCACACGGGAGAGAATGGAGCTCAAACTCAATCAGAACATGAGAAAATGGCTCCTGGTGACTCACCTACGGCCATTAGACACAAACATCTCATTTCCTTTACATAAAACCAGCTCAGAGACGGTGAGTCAGCGCAGGTCAATAGGAAACGCACACCTGTGAACAGGGCACTATTGTGAACCTCAGAGTCAAGGACGGGGGGTCAATACCAGAACTCCCAGACCAGTCTTTTTGATGGCTTCAGTTTTTAGTCTTCATTAGTCTTTCTGCTTCTAAAAACGGTTTATTTCCATGTATCAAGTTTTTGAAATTATCTTATTTTATAAATGTGAGTTTCAAAAATAGAAATTTTGACTGCTCAATTTATTTTAATGTAAAATTATAATATTAGCTATTAAAAGCTGATATTGTGGACATCAATCTTGAACTGGAGGTTCTCAGCTTAAAGCTGCACTAACTGACTTTATTTTTGTATTCATTACGAAAATGCTATCCATGTCCGTGTAGGGCATTGGGATATACGTCCTTTTGACGAAAAAGTAGCGCAGATTTGTGCTGGCGTGACATTATATTTTAGATCGAGTTTTGATGAAACAAGGAAGAGAATGTGTTTCGGGTCGCAGATTGTGACCAATCACAGCGGACCACTGGCCCCCACTTTTGTGAGAAATCTACAGGTCTCCGTTAGCATAGACGGCTGAGTTAGCACAACAAGACGAGGAGCTAACCTGAAGCTTCGTCTCTTCATCACCGGTTACTGCTTACACAGCAAGACAGCCATCCAAAAGAAAGTCTCGTTCCTCCGCGCTTCCCGGTTCTATCGTTCTATGGTCACGCCATCCACGTGCAAATCCATGTCCATGTATTATCCATATTGGGAGACGCTAGCTTCGTCCCAACAGTGAGTGTGTGTGGGGGACGATAGCTTCGTGGGTGCGGGGAGGGGAGCAGGAAGAGAGAGGCCAGCGAGTCTGCTGCTTCAAAATCCCAAAGTCAGTTAGTGCAGCTTTAATTAGAATGTATTCTCTTACATGTTTGACCATCTGCGCGGCAGTGTTGCACCATTACTTCTGGTCAAAGAAAAAAATATCTGCTGATTGCCAACTTTGTCTGTGGTTGGTGCTGGGTCGTTGATTACACCAGCATCAAACAAGCATAGACAAATTTAGATTTTTTTTTAGTTTTAAAATCAAAATTGAGACTTGCAGTAAATAGTTGTTTTTCTTATTCAAAGAAAGGAATTCAATATTTGAAATGACCTTTCCTTAAGTCAACCTCAGTCAAAACTGAGACAAACTAATTTGTTTACAACTGGCTTTTCTTTTCTCCTCCACAGAACACATCAAGAGGATACATTGATTTTTTTTCATAACCATTTAAGTCTAATTAACCTCGTATCCATTCAATTTAAGTTCATATAACAATTAGTTGACCTCAATATTACATCATGTGAAAAGCCACAATAGACTTGGGCTCCATTTAGACACAAAGCATTGATCCTTGAAAGATGGAAGTGTTCAGTTTCCCACAATGCTCCTTGGTTATATATGGACTGAAGCTGCTGCAGTTATAGTGACAAACAAGCTATCGTACTTGCCAAACTATATACCGATGCGGCAAATTCATATCTTTTATATGTATTGGCGAATATATTTTCTCATTCCCATTTTAACTGGTTCCAATTGCTTCATATTGGAATAAACCAAAACATTTCCACACCGTCTTGAGTGTGATTGAAACAAAGTTATTTAGCAGCTAAGTCAAAAGCTACAGCTAAAGTTGATGCTGTATTCAAAACTGCAGTCTTTTCCCCCGTAAATTTGGTTTAAAAACGGTCGTGCAGTATGACAGTTTGAGTACGACATTGAACATAACTTTAAGTCTTGCATCTTGTGAATAGAGATGAATGTGATGTAATAGTTGTCCTTCACAAACGGCACTGAAAGCACTCTTCTCCAGCAGTGACTTGAAGGACCACGACCGCCGCAAATAGACACGAGAGGACTCCATAGTAACCAGGTAATAATACACTTGAGAGATGCCATTATTTCTGCCAACAGCACACAACTTCTTATGCTGCAATCTTTAGATTTGCCCATATTCATGGAGCAAGTGGAACAACATGTACCGTATGCATTGTTGTCGAATGGGTTTGTTACGAGGCTCGAAAACTCATGGACCTGGTTTGGAGCTGCAGTTGTACGGTGCTCCTATTTTAATATAAAATAAACTAAAGCCACAGTTATAAAACTACCCTACCCGCTTTATGGTGCTTTCAGACCGGGACAGTCGTTGCGTCTGCGTTCAATGCAAAGTCAATGGGGTGGCGCGTTTCAGCGTCGCATTGCACGGACCTCTCGGCACACGCGCACGGACCGCCCAGTAGAAACGCACGGACTTGGCGGGAAAGTCAAAGGGGAGGAGAAGGAGCGGAAAATGAACGCCCACAGGAGATGGATTCCGCTCAACTTTTCCTCGAGATGTTCGTGCAGCGACCAATCAGAGAGCACGCACACCACTGACGTAATCACGCCACTACACGGCGTATGTTTTCCCCATTGAGAGCCAGGAACCGGTCATTTAAACATGGAGGATCAAGCTGTGGATAGTCTCATTGTCGCTGTTACAAACTTTCCAGAGTTGTGGAAAGTCTGCATTCCGGAATATAGCGACAGAGCAAAGAAAGATTCGGCATGGAAGGCCATTGCGCAGCAGCTCAACCTCCCTGGTAAGTTTTTTCAGTATCAGTGTAGTGAGGTGGGCGTGCTTGTGTTCGTGCGTCGTTTGGCAGTGTGCAAGCCTCTGCGTCTGAAAACTAGAGAATGCGCGTCTGGTGAGCTGGGCTGCTGCGTTTCAGCGTTTTCGGTCTGAAAGCACCATTAGTATCTCGTACCATATCCCAGAAAGCTACCCACAACAAAGCAGTATCCAGAGAAATTCCCTGGTAACCATGGTTTCCAGTAGCACTCTGGCCAATCACTGCCAATCACACGCTAGTACCAGCTATGTTTGGATAGAACCAGGGCCTATAGAGGTACTATAAAGTACCTGGTACCAATGGACACTTAACAAGCTTACAAGAGGAGTGTTGTGTTTAGCGTTAGGAATAACTTCTGTTCACCGCTGGCGCCACTGGTGCTAAATAAGGCAAGCCCTGATTGGTCCTCTTCGCATCCAGTCCGGCCAGCAGATTGCCGTTTTCCCTTCTTCTGAATGGATTTTGTCATGATAAATTTTACATCTAGTCTTTTATTCAAGACCAACGTTTTTGTTGTTGTGCCCAATTATATAATTTTATATTTGTGACAAAAAATATGACTAATATTTCATAAACAAAACCGACACTGGTGGGACAAATGGATTTTACTCTTAAAAAAAAAAAAAAAAAAACTCTAGGAGAAGTGAAGGATTAAAATATATCATCCAACCTTCTGGGATGAATCAGGGCCAGGATGAGGTGCTTTTATATGTATTTCGCCAGGATTTTTTAGTCAGGTCCCTAAATCTAATTTCTCATTGAAAGGTTTCTCCACTGAGCAAGGGGACACGTTAAAAACCAGCAGGTCTCTACAGTCTACAGTCCAGACACCAGCGATACACTTTATATTTACCAAAAAAATCAGGTGAAATTTGATGTTTGATCTTTCTCTGCAGAAATAGTTTCCACTTAAAACTAGAACAAATGAGTGAGAGACCAAAGCTACAGGACCCAAGCAGGAGTTCTTGATTTTCTCCAATTCAATTCATTTACAGACGTGAACAGGCGTTTTAATGTTTTGTAAGAAAAAGAAAAAAGAAAAAAAGGTCTCAGTCATACAAGTTTAAAACCATTATTTCTGAGCAGCCTTTCGTTCTGAGTAAAGGCCTTGCATCTCTGCTTCCTGGTAAAACATATTTTAAAAGCTTCAACGTTCATTCAGGCCAATTATCTCCACTTAAGCCTCTTCAGTATTGAATAACCTGAATAACAAAGGTGTTTAACATGCATTATTTCAAAGGGGAATTATAGTTTGAACAAATGCAAAGTAACTGTTGATTGGATGTGAATCGGCTGCAATTTCACACTCGACAACTGAAGAA